CTATTAATTCAAGAAACCATTTTTAAATGCTGTTTTTGCAATCAATTAAACATTCCATTTTCTAAATGACAAGTTAAAAGTGCTTCATTCACTATTTTCTAGCATAATAAAATGTAAATTAAGTATCTGAATTAATGCATATTATAACTGTACAGTGCTTGTATAAATGTGAAATGATTAACATATCCACCAAGTTAAAATTAGTGCCAATTTAAGTGTAATGGCTATATTTATCAGCGTTTTCTCATAGCTCTTGGACAGTGACGGTAAACCTACTAGAATAAAGTAAAACTGCAGAACAAGGATTATTTAACCTGGGATTAAAGTCAGCCATTTATGTCTTTTTGACTTAAATGAGCCCACTGTCTAGAGCTTTTACCTTTGAAGATAGAGACCCCAACCCAGCTCTGAGTGGTACCTGCATCCCTTCTCCCAGGGCCAGAGCTACCAGATGGGAGGTGTTTGGCATCAGGCTCTTCTGGAGAAACAGAAGAGGCAAGGAGCAGGACCGAACCAGAAGAAGGCAGCTGCTTGGCTGCCGTGCGGTGACTCTGATGACTTCTCGGCTGGGCTGTCCCTTCTTTGGTAGCAAATGGCAGCTGATCTTGGCATCCTGGGGCACACTTTTGTGACAGCAAATGCAGCAGATCGTGCTGGAGGATGTCTAAATCCCTGTCCCATAAGAGAATGAGTTGGGTACTGCTGTCTCAGTCAGAGGCTTCTTTGTCCCAGGGCATAACAGACCGTAAGCGTCTCAGATTGACGCTATCTCCATCTCCTCAGATTGACACTATCTCCATCTCCATCTCTGCCTCTTCTTGGGATTTGCCCACCAGGATGTTTGATTTGTGGGCAGACCTCTGAATTCTGGCTCTGAAGTCGACTCTGCTTGTGTCTTTGTAGAGCCTGTGCTGTGCATGCAGACAGGGCTGATGCCCAGGGATATGGCGAAGGGAATCAGATATGCGATGGGCAGAGAGCTGTAGGTGCAAGCGCTGTTTTAAAGAGGGGGGGAGGGGCTAGTACGCATGCTAGGAGACCATGCTACACATCTGTGTGACCTGGCTCTGCAGTCAACCTGCTTGGCCTTCCCCATGTGCTCCCTTGTTCATGGTCACTAGAACCAAGACCTGGCTTGGCAGATGTGTTGCTGTGGTGAGGTCGGCCTCTTCTATCCATATTTGCCAGCTCTAGTCACGTCCCTTAGCTATTCAGGCCATAAGAGTTTTACACCATACCCCATGCCCCTGCACAGGGGAGGGGTGAAACAAAGGGGTAGAGGGGTGGGTCTGCTCGTCATATCCAGAATGGTGATATTTTTCTGGGATCACCTTGATCACCCGTCTGATGAGCAAAGGGGTAATATAACCCTTGTAGCAGATGAAGAAGGGTCTGTGAACCACGGACTGGGGGTTTGCAAGAGGAATCGACCCTGGTGCTCAGAAGAGACTCCTGCCACTTGCCCCACTGAGAGATGACGGCAACTCCTTCTCTCCCCTTCCCCGGGCTGCAGCAAGGGGGGAACCTGGCTCAGCTCTTTGTGTCTTCTCCTGTCCTGGGCGCGTGGTGCTCTGGGGGCTTCCCTGCTGGCCCCACCTGTGGCACGCGCAGCTCCCTGAAGGCTCAGGCTCTGGCTCAGGTGTTGGCCTAGTGTGCCAGCACTGCAAGCGTCGGGAGGGCTGTGGTGGACTTTCAGCCATCACTACCATGTTTCACCTGAGCACAGCGTTCTGGGAGGGAAAAAAAAAAAAAAAAGCATGGTCTTGTAGATACCTGAGGCCTGCTGCAATCAAGTAGAATAGCCTACAAAACCCACCAGCACCATCTTTTTCTAAAAGACTATCAAGCAGCTAAACCCTAAGAGCCATTAGAGAAACTTATCATAAATTTGGGACCTACTTTTTTCCTAGAAGCTTTTGCATGGGCTGATCTCAGGTATGCTTAGGAGGGGAATAGGGATCACTGAGTTCTGTAAGAACTAAGACAGATTTATCTGTAAAGAAGAGTAAGAGTTTGAAGTTGTTGAGTGCTTTCCATTATCTTTATTCCATTTATTGCACATAGGACAAGTTAGTGAGCCTGTTGCTGACTAATACTAATAATATTTTAAGAAAGTAATGGTAGTATATATTATACTATAGTAGTATATATTTTACTATAAAAATACTACAATAATAAAATAATAGGTAAAAGTATATCATAATAAGTAAATCCCAGAATTTAAACAGCAGGGAAAATGCATGTTGTAACAACATGTAGTGTGTGCTGATTTTCTGCCTGCTAGTGGTGTTTGTGATGGATAGTACATGCAGAGCAGAAAATGCTGAGACATAGCTGTCGGCTGCTGAAGGCAGCAACAAGACGAACTTGGAAGAGGAGCTTGTCTGCTGAAAGATGGTCCATCATAAACGAAATATCCCCTTCCAAAGCTCAAAATAGACACAGCAATCATATAACTACAAACAGAAAATGCAACTGCCTTCCTGTAACAGCAGAGAGTTATTACCTTGCTCTAATACGTACCTCTTGCTGGAGTCAAGTAGGCTGCAGGCCTGGGGGTTACATCTGCGCACAGCAGCCTGCCGAGCTCAGACTAACACAGGAGCAAGGGCTGCAGGAAACCTGATTTTGTGGTGCCTCTGAAAATAAGGTTGCAAATCTGCTTCAGGGCATGAATTTTGAAATACTAGAATAAATCTTGCCTTTGGGCTGTGCATTATAGATCGATCAAATTGCTTAAACAAGCAGCAGTCATCCTACATGTCTCCCCCACACATACTTACTGCATAGATGAGTCCTGCCGGTTCCCCTGGCAAAAAAGATGAGTTCTTTTTTTGCCTAAACTTATAATAAAAGCATCCCATATCCAACTGACAGAAATCTGGCAAATGGCACAGCAGATTCTCCCACACTCGCAGTCTCCTGGTCCTCCCTGGCGCCCTCTGCAGAGTAGCTGGCTCCCCATGTGCTTGTGGAGCATGAGAGTTCCTTGAAGGGTTTTTGACAACCTAACCAAATCCAGGCTAATCTGAAGAAGGTAGGCTGTGCTTTGGGACTGAGTGAGCCTCTTCAAGGACTCCGGTCCATTCAGTCTTATCTCCTGTTTTCATTTACGATAAACATGAACAGGAGCTCTTGATGGAGCATGTTGACACAGGCTGCGCAGTCAGCATCTGCCACAGATTGGTAACGTGACATGCCACACTGATGTGCTTTCCTAGGTCATCAATTTCCATCAGTGATTCGGGTCAGTATCATGTTCCCCTTGGAAGTCACTCAAGTCAGGACCACAGAACAGAGCCTGAGCTCCATTGCCACTGGGTGCAGAAGTGATGTTGGGTTAGTAGCGTTGGGGAGCTGAAGGCCCTGGAGTTGTCCAAAATCAGCAAATAAGCAATGTGCCTTAAGCTAGGCAATGGAAAACTAGGAATGGGCTAAAATCTGTTGCTGAGTGATATAATGCTGTCTCAAGCCACAGCAGTGTCGCCTGTTTTGGTGTGAGTGACAAGAGATGCCTGCTCCATTGTGTTTGAAAGCAGCTGCAAATGTGTCACAGAATTCAATGCTGTTGTTAAACAGTGGGGCCTCAAGCTTCTCAGAAGTATTATTTACCAACAAGACCTCTTGGAGCAAACTACAGCTTGTCTCCTACAAAAAACTGCGGAGTTGTGTGCTGTTGCCAGACATCTTTATAATGGACTGCAGTGATTATAATGGCTGCAGTGATTTGAGCTTTCACACTGATACCTCTGTGGCCACTGGGGCTGATGACATGTTAGCTGTGGGATCTCCACCGTCGCACCTGCAGAATGCTCCTGTGTATGGCACAGCCTCTTGAACCTCTTGGGCTTTTCAGTAGAAGCAACTTCTTCAACAGTATCCTGCTGTGCTCACGCCTTCTTTGGGCTGCTCAAAAGTTCGTATGCTTTGCCTGCAGCTCCTGTTTGGTTTTGCGAGAGTGTCATTTCACAGCCAAATTCAGGCTGTAGGGTGACACCATGGATCGCAAAGCTGCTGCACCATCCTGCATACTGCTCACAGATGCAGTTCTTGGTGCTGTTGCAATCCCTCTGTGAGAGGGATTTTCCTTGCAATCCCTCTGTGAGAGCTGTTTGCCCACGATGATTATGGTCATGTCTTTCTCTGTCATGTCGCAAAGTGCCCAGCTGTGGGAAGTTCTCCTGAGCAGTGTGTCGGCCGCAATCCATGTGGTGCACACAGAGGTCCCCATTGCTGTCACAAGAATGTGTTTCTTCTCCCAGTTCATTGCTCATGGTGAAGTAGTTGGAGAGTCCCTGCCTTCTTAGGGCAGAACTGTACCTTCCCCCGCCCAACCTTGAAGAAGATCTGTTTTGAGAAATGATGAGAAGTTCCAATAGTGCCTTATGTGACTGATCTTCTTGCATGTCAGGGGTGCCACTGCCACCAGCATCCTTGACACCTCTGAGCTTAGCTGGGGATGCTGGCAGTCTCTGTGCCTCTTTCACTGGCATTACTCCTTGTTTTGCCAGGAAATACTTTCGTATTCAAAGAGTGACTCTGCTCCCAGGTGGTTAAGGCACTTGTTTTGGTGGGAGACGAAGACCAGCCCTTACTTCAATGACTGGTTTAGTATTTAGAAGGTGACATAGCCATCCGGGAGAGATTAAGCTGTTTTCCCACTGACTCCTGAAACAGGTCGGTGCTTGGACACTCTCCAAGGGGGCACAATTTGTGTTTGCCTCTCTGCAGAGTCTCTCCTCAAATGTCGTTCCAGGCTGTTGCCAGCCCCCATCATGTCCCAGACCAGAGGTGTCAGTTCCCAGGGTTGTTTCCATCCCTCCTGCTCATTGCCCGTGGCCCAGTCCGCCTGGAGTTCCCTCTGTGCCCTCGCCACGGCCAGCTGTGAGGTCGCTGTGCTCTCATTCCACTGCCGCCGCCCCTGGAGCCACCGCCACCACCGCACTGGCCGTCAAAGTGCAGGGCTCAGCAGGATGGCAGCACTGGCATGAGGGGCAGAGATGCTGAGGCTCCCCTCTCTGGTGGGTGAGTGCCCCCCAGGTTGCTGCTGCCCCTGTGACAAGGCATCACTTCAGAGCCTCAAGGCAAGGCACTGATGCATCACACCTAGAGCAAAGGGACCCTGCAAGTCCCTACACTAATCCATGTGCTCTTGGTATTGCCTTCCTCAGCCCACACCCCCTTCTGTCCCACTCCCTCACAAAGCCATCCCTGGGACCATCAGTCACCCTTGCTCTCCTCCAGAGGACTGGAGGCTCCCAGATGGGAGGTGGGGCTGGGGATGGCAGAGCAAATCCTACAGAGGTTGCTAAGCATGAAGCCAGAAGCTGCACGAAAATAAAAGTAGTTCCTTTAGTGCCACTCATCACTTCTCCTGGGTGGTTAAGCACACCCTGCTTTTTCTTCTCAGGACTGCTGATCTGGCTGCTGCCCTCTGCTGCTCCACCAGTCCCTTTTGCAGGCAGCCCTCTGTCTGACAGCGAGTACCAGGTCTTCTTTTCCAACCTGAGGCCCTCCTGGAAGGCACGTGCTGCCTGCCAGCTACGACGTCACCATGGCTGCCTCAGCCCCGAAGTCCTGCAGCTGGACCAGCAGGAGAACCACGGCCAGATCCCTGAAGGTAGGGTGGTGCAAATGCATCAGGGCACTGCACATGCTGTTAGTGCTACGCTGAGCTCTCTTTGCCTTTGGAGCGAAAGGCAGCAGTTGCCCGGGCTAAAAATGGCACAGGCTTTCTCTCTCCTGTTGCTGGCTAAGGAAATGTCACAGAATTGCAGAAATGGTGGTGGGGCAGGCCCTTTAGATGCCTTTAGTCCAACCTCTGGCTTGGAACAAGACAATCCCAACAGTAGGTCTGGTCATCCTGACTTTGTCCAGGAGAGTTTTTAAAACCTCCAAGGATGGAGACTCCAATGCCTCTCTGGACACCTGTTTCAGTGCTGCACCAGCTTCCTAGTGAAAAAGTTTGTTGTAGTGTCCAATATGAACATCCTAGATGGGAATTTGCAACTTTTTCCTCTTATGTTGCCTGGCTCTCACATGAGGAGCTAGATTCTGCTGTTTTTGTAGCTTCCTTTTGAGTAGTTGTAGGTTGCTATTAAATCACCTCTCAGCCTCGTCTTCACCTGAGTAACCAAGCTCAGCTCCCTCAGCCTCTCTCCATAGGTTACGTGCTGAAAGCCCTGGCTGCCTTAGCGGCCCTGCACTCGCTTCTTCACTTTCTCCCTAGCTATCTCTCTTGAGCTGTGCGTGGTACGCAGCACCGGGAGAAACTGGCCACAGTTTTGAGAAGCTCACTGGCCTGCTCTTCCCGACAGTTCATGTTATGGACTGACTGACTTTCTGGATGGATGTAGGGTTTAGAAAAGAAGTTTGGTTTACAGGCTTTCATAGGCCTTTAAGCAACCTTGAGCTGATAAGTTGCTTTTCTCAGTGTATAACATTTCAGTGGCCAAGAAACATTCCAGTTCAGAAAGCACCATGGCAACAGCCCCCTTTGAATCTCTGCAGTCGCACTCTCCCTGCACCCAGGCATCCGAGAATTTAAGTGGGATAATTATATCTGCACAGCTGAAAGCTTGGGACTACTTCTGTTGTATTTTTCTACAGAGAAAAAAAAAATAGGAACAATTTTCTCATAAAAATATGTCTTTATATTTAGCTATGAACGTCAATGAACTGCATGATCAGCCAACTGTCTGTGCTTATTTGGGCTGGAACTTGAGGGCCACTATTTCTTGCTTGCTTCTGCAGCTGTAGCAGGGGAACAGTTCTTCTCCCGCATCAGCAGATCCAGGGACAGGTCCTGGTCTCTTCTCTCCCTTGCGCTCACTGGCAATCCACAACCTCATGCTGCTAGCTGCACTTGGAGGCTGTCCCTCGTTCCTCTCCTGGCAATGTCCAGCTCCCCACCACTGCTCTTTCAGGCACTCTCCCACTGCTGCTGCCTTCAGAGGCTCAGCTGCCAAGAGCAGGAGCAACTGGGGAGTATTGAGAATTTCCTCATGGGAGATGAACTAAGAGAAAAGAGGATGCAAGGCTCAATGCTAACGGAGACAAGCTGCTGGTCTGGCCATGCCGTCAGCAGACAATAGGCTGTGGCAGAGCTGATCTGTGGTGTAAATAAAGAGCAGGTGAGTAGACCAGCAAAGAGGGTCTATGGGAAGCCTTATCTGCGTCAAATTTTTCTTCATTTCCGAGGTGCTAGAATGAAAATGTTGTTTTCTTCTCCCTCAAAAATGGGAAGTTTCTGTATCATCAGAAGGACATTGTGTGCCAGAACAGCAGCATCCTGCAATACTCAAAGTCTGGCCTGGCTGAGGAGGGCTAGATTAATGCTGGCGTACAGGCTATGGTTGGGCTTCCTCCCCTGCTTGGTTGTCCATCACCGTGTGGTGCCCGTGTGGTGGAATACAACAATGCAGCCCTCAGTTTGTGTGCACTGGCAGAGTCCACGTTCCCCGGGCCCTGGAGGGATTTCACAGGCTGTCACTAAAGGACAGGGGGAGTTTCAGGTCTGCTCATTACAAGTTGGCCTTTTTCTGTGCTGAGAAGCGGGTAGATACCGAAACTCCAAGTTTTGCTAGTGAAGCCTTATGCTCAACACAAGAGACAAGGTATCCTTTAGACAGGTATATGGCCTCCTGCTTATTGTGTGGTAGAGGACCACTTTCCAAGTAGTCAGCCCAGAGCCGGACATTTTCTGCATGCCATGCATTACACCTTGCTTACTCTAAAGACTGCAATCTTATTCCTTGTTTAGTCTCTGTATGGCTTGCTTTGGTATGAGATGTCTGGCTTCTCTGATTTTTGCTGATTTTCATCTTTGTAGCTCTTGGCTTGTCCATTGCTTTTGCCAAAACTGACTGGCAAAATCAACTCCAAGTCAATAACATAGCAGCATGGGATGCTCTGGTCTCTGCATAGTGAATGCTTAAAAATTCGATTTCAAGTGCAGTGCACGACACCAATTATTACATGGCTGACCACAAATGGGGGGAGGAGTGAGAGTGCCTGATTGTGTACCATACTGTGGCTCATTTTGAGCGCATGGTGAGAATACATTGCTGCATACTATTCCTATGCACAGAAATACAGAAGATGCAATTGCTCCTGCACTGGTACACTGCCGTGAACCTGCTCGTGCGCAGACCCTTACTAGAGCGCCTTTTTCTGATTTAGTTCCTGCAGCCTATAAAGCTGAATAATGATGGCATTCAAAACAGGCATTCTTATTCTGAATAAAGATATTGTACAAGTAGCTAACCTGAGTGCAGGGAGAGCAGTGTAAGTGCACAGCTAAAATCCTCCGTCTCAGCCAGTGCTTGCCCCTCCCTTGGTAGGCTTTCAGGGTCCAGCCCTGCAGTCACCACATTGTTTCTTGAGAGGCCCTGAAGGTGCCCTTTCTCCACCTCTTTGCATGTACCTGAGCTGAGCCTGTTCATGCTTTATTAGGGCAACGGAGGCTTTTTGTGAGCTCCAGAGGAGCTGGGAGGCCAATGAGAGGCTCCTCTGCTTTCCCCAGGGTTGCAGCCTCTTGCAAGGGGTGGTGGAGCTTTTGAGGCAGATCTGAAGGCCATAAGCAGATAGGCAGAAGATATCCCAAAATGGTGGGTGTGCAGAGTTTGGGGCTCTTTCTGGGGGGTGGGCAGGTGTAGGCTCATGGTTCCTGCACCGAGCGCAGGGTTGTTCTGCTCAGTACACTCAAAAGGTTAGTGGTGGTGGTGGGCCACACATGCACAGAGCAGAGGGAGCACAAAATTACCCCTCCCTGGAAATCTTCCAGGTTTTTTTGGCTCTCCTGCATGACCTCAGCTATCCTGTGATTGCTGCAGGAAGACCTGCAGTTTTTGAGCCAGTAGGGCCAGCAGTGCTGTTCAGTACTATTGCACATGTGTATTCAGGCACAATCTTTGCCAGCAGCATGACAGTGCAATGGACTTTCCTCCATCCTCAGCATGACTGGGGTCTAAAGTATTTTCCTTTGACAAGACCGGAGAAAACCTCTGCAAGGTGCAAGGTGGTCTCATCTGGTGTTTCCAGTCCCGATCTGGTCATTTTTCTAACCTGTAACATCACTACTTGCCTGTTTTGGTGGTGGTGGTGGGGTGGGTGTGCGTATGTGTGTGCGTGTGTGTGTTGTGGGGTTTTTTTTTTTCCTTATCTAGGACTAAGTACAGAGCCCTTATCAGGTTATGGAAACAAAAATTTTAGGCCTCTAAAATGGAAGATAGCAGGTGACAAAGGGCAGAAAGATGAAGTGAAACCTTGTGCGGTTTAGCTGGAAAGTACCCATGGCCTGTGGCCTCTAAGCTCTGTTTTAACAGCACAAAGCTCAGATCTCCACTTGAGGGCAGCCAGCTTTGACTTTCTGTTCAAATCAACCGCAAACTGAAACTAAGCATCCAAGAGGTACATGTGTCTTGTCACATCCCCCCGCCCCCCCCGAGGGGGTATATGCTTAAAGCAGTGGCCTGCCCCCACCTCACCACTCTCTCACCTGCCTCTAGGGCCCGTCTGCTCTGGTTTCCCCGAGGCACGGTGGTTTCAGACCTTCTGCCAGTTTGCCCAGTACCGCTGCTCCAACCGCAAATTCTACCTCAAGGTGAGGATGGGGTTCAGGCTGGGGAAGGGGGGGGGTGTCTTTCCCAGGGGAAGGAAGGAATCAGGTTTCAGAGGATCCTTATGGGAGAAAGGATCCATGGCTAGGGTAAAAAGAAAGGGAGCATAACCAAGCAGGACTCGAATTTCTCCCTCTCTCTCCTCTGCTCAGCGAATCCTATGTCCAAGTTTGTCTCCTCCAAAAGACCATCTTGTCCAGGCAGAGCGATCTTATGATGTGGGCTCCTGGGCAAAGGACAGAAGCCCCCCTGCAAAATCAGGTATGGCTACACTGAGCTCCTCTGGATGACTCTGCTTGTGTGCCTTTCTCCTGCAAGTAATTTTCTTCCCTGCAGAAAAATTTGGTGCAAGGTTTGGGTCCATGGCCCGTACACGAGAGCAGCTGACATGCAGGTGGGAGCAGGCCAGCGCGTTGTCTAGTGAATTCCACCTTCCTGGTCTGCAGAATGGTCCCATAGCTGAGACAGGAGCAGGCACTGTAGGACTGGCAAAAACCTTTCTAGTCCCATGTGTGTACGGATGCATGTAGCAGTAGGAAGCACATGTGCACACACATAAGCAGCTGCTAAAGCAGAGCGTTTGCAGATGAATTAACAGGGCGCGGCAACTTTCTGCCTGGTTTCAGAAGTGTGCCCTGCACACAGCTGGAGAGCAGCGAATGAAGTCAGCTCGGGTCTTTCAATCCTCCTGTCTTGCTCTCTCCCCAGCTCCGGGGCAGGCTTCGCTTTTGCACACTGACGCCCATCTGCACTCCAATGTGGACACTCTCCTGAAGTACTCCTACGCGCTGTCGAGTCAGAAACCAGTGGCTAAGCAGCCCCCCTCTGCTATGGCAGGGGCACAGGGAGGCCCATGGGACGGGGGGCTCCCTGTGCCTCCACAAAGCCAGCCTGTCCCAGCTGTCCCTACAAACTTGCCTCCTGGGCTGACAGGCCGGGCTCAGGCTGAAAGAGCTTGGAGCCACCTCCTGCAGCACGGCATCCAGCAGCTGACCAACTTGATCCTCTCCTTAGAGACGTCGCCCGGCAAGGAGGCCTCCTCACCAGCCCCTAGCACCCAGCAGGACCAGGGGAGCACACACAGCAGTGCTGAGGAGGGGGCACAGGAAATGGCCTCCAGCAGCAGGTGAGGGAAAGGCCCAGCTCCCCGCCAGGTTGGGTGGACCCTGGACAGCTAGTGAGCACAGGCAGGCTTTCTGGGGCGAGCCATCCCGTACCAGAGCGGGTACGTGCATGGGGAAACCCTCAGCCATCCCTGCCCCAGCATTGAGTGAGCAAGGAGTGGGTGTCCCAGCATTGCTAAGGCAGGAAAACGTTCCTGTCGTCATGATGCAGGTAGAATGCATTCAGGCCGGGCTTTTTTCCTTGCACATGTATCAGAGCGTGCCCTCATGCTCTGGGTAGCTGCCTTGTGCGGTCCCCTCTGCACTCGTCCTCCTTCCAGCTCACGTCTGCCAGGAGTCTGGGTGACTTACAGAAATACCTTCCTTGCAGTCACTGACCTTGGAGACACTGGAGTAAACATGCCTCTCTGTGCTCCTCTCCTGTCTGTATGCAACGTGATGTTTCCTGAAACAATCTCATTTGAGAAGAGCTCTGGGGTGCTTTAGGTGCTGGTTGAGCATCTCGGCCTCTTCTCAGTTGATCTGTTTGGGATCTGTCTGCCTCAGCGCTCAGGCAGCGGGGGCTGGTGAGCCCAAACAAACATGACCAGCAAAGGGAGCATATATTTGCACCTGGATTTGCTTTTTGATCCTTTCGAACTTTGGGGCTAAGACCCACTCGCTTTGGCTGAGATGCAAAGATTATTTTGCTTGCCAAGAGCGAAAAAAATGCTCTCTAGATGTGGATTTCAAGGAGAAGTCATATAAGTTTTGCTGTTTGTGACTGGTGAAGTTCCTGTGTTACGCACACAGGTTTTGTGCATAATTATACACGAGGTCTCTGTGAAAAACCTTGCGTACTACTACAGTTGAGCCAGAGATCACACTCTTGCAGATAAAAATGAATTGAATCATATTGTTAGAACTATTAACTGTTCTATTGCAAGGCTGTAACTTATGTCCTCCTCCTTCCTAATACCGTAGGAGGCTTTTACTGCCTGTCAGATGTTTCCTGGTGTATTTACACTAAGGCAAAATGATGTGTCATTGAGAATATGTTAATTTATTTTCCCTGCCTCTGAAACTAAGCCTTGCTCTGATTTAGCTATGTAGGGATTATTGAGGGACTGCTATGATTGCATGTGACACTTGCTATTGCATTACAGAGTTTCTCAAAGCCACTAATGCTGACTGTGGCTGTAACCTGATAGCAGAGTCCCATCAATCATAATAAGCAAAGCTCAAACTCAAGTGAGTTTAAAAAAAAAAAGCAGAATAAAGTGCACCTCTCAGCTTCGCTGTTCAGCACATCCCACCTCCTCTCAAAGGGGTTTCAGAGCAGGACCTAAAAAAAGGGTAAAAGGCTTTGGGACATTCCCATTGAAGCAAGACATGCAGTGTTGTGTCGGCTGGTCAACGTGTACATGTGATATCCAGCATCTGGTTTAACTGCACGTGTGCACAGTTGTGCCAGGGGCACTGAACCCGGGGCTGCATGTTTTGCCTGGAGTCCTTTGTCCAGCAGGACATCCAGCCCTTCTTGTTCATCCCTTCTTGCAGAAGCTGCCCTGTGGTCTCTGGTAAAGCCAGCTGTGTCCTTCAGAAAGAGACACTAGGGTGATAGGAAAAATAATAAGATGAAGAATTTGCAATACCCTTTCACGGTATTTGTACTAACAGTGAATCATTATGGTAAAATGTCTCTTATTGCATTTATTTTCTTTTTTTAGTTCTTATTGTGCTCTCTGCCGTGGGTTTAAAGAGCTATTTAGTACCTCGTATTTCCTCTTCTCCACATTAGCTATGTACCACAATTCGATCTCACAGTAAGCAAAACAGAGCTCTGTAACTCCCACGCTATAAAGCCTGCCCAGCTCTCATTTCCATGGCAATTTTCAGCGTCCTGTCAAAACATCCACATGCTCCATGCCCATATGCCCCAGTTCATGATCAGTCTCAGCAGCTCTGTTGGCAGAAGGAAATCAGCCTCCCTTCCTTGCGCCGCTGTTTGCACATACGAGAGTTGCCTTTGTCCTTTTTCCCAGGGCTTTCCACCGTTGAGTTGTTTGTCCTCTGCACCCCCAAAACCTCTTTTAGCATTGCGCTGCCCCAGATACAGAGCCCGTGCTGTCGGTACGGCCAGCATGCTTTACGCTGAAATGCAAGAGCAAACCACACTGTTTGAATGGGCCCAGCTTCCCAAGCAAGCCTGGTGCCTGCCTGCCGCTGCCCCATCCTCCTCCTGTTTTACCTCTCCCACAGTCTTTGTGGTGCTGATGTATTTCATCCCCAACGGCTTTAATTCTAACAGCGGAGCACTCATTAAAAATATTGCTCTTGTGAAATGCTCCTTTTGAATTATCATCTCCTATTAACGCTTACTTTTTGCGTGTGTGTGTCTTTTGGTAGTTCAGTGAGATCAGAGTCCCTTTAGTGTTTTCGTATTGCTGTTGTGTATGGCTAATTTTGAAGGGGGGATTGAGACCAGGCAGGTTCTCTTATCACCACAGGGCCGGAAAAAGTGAAAGTGCTCCCAGGCTTTTGGGAATCTCAGACCAGGGAGCTCCCGGTGTCTCGGTGAGGCAGAGATAAAAGATTACAATATTATGTGTGTTAGCAGGAGAAAGAGGGAGTTTGTCAAACTACTGGTTAAAAGAGAGGAAGAGATGCTAATTCTCATATCCCTTCTGAGGTGAGGCAATATCTCGCAGTGTGGGGAGTGGAGATTCAGGATAAGTGGGCAAATAGACTGGTAGTTGGTTGCCCTGCCAGAGCTGAGAAGCCTTAAGTACTGGAAAAGTAGAACTTGCTATTTAATTAGGACCTGTCTGGGTCTTCATGATGTCCGGTGCCTGTGACAGGATTGTAGGGCAACGTAAGGTCAAAACTTTACCCAAAACTGTAATTGCTTACAAATATTTTTTCTATGGTCTGTACTCCCCTGAGCTCTTGGACGGGTGTTACATTCCCGTTCTTCAAATGACTCCTGAATCAGATTATCTGCTGGGTTGATCCACCACTTTGCTTGCCTTCTTGGTATTCAGACAACAAGCAGGCTGCTGAGATGTCCCTGCCACTTTACATTTCAAAGGTAACGTCAGATGCCCAGACAGCCCTTTGCCAGTGCGCTAAGAACAAGAGCCATTTTCTGCACTCACTGGCTTGAAAAGATTTATTCCTAATACAGGCAGTTAAACATCCTTCTCTGTTATGAATGGACTGAAAGATATTTATTATTCTAGGTGACACAATATGTCAACAAACACTCTCTGGCTTCACAACATAATAACTGTACCAAGTATTATTGCTCAGGGTATGCTTTAAAAAAAAAAAAATCTCCTTTTCTTCTTGAACTATCTATCAATAGATTTTTTTTTTCCTAGCAAGTTTAGCTTCCTGCTGCAACCCACATAAATCAGAAGTTACAAAATGCTCAAAAGCTGCTATTTGCTCCTTATCTTCTTTCCCACTTGCCTCAGGTGTTTACTCCACCTCATATAGCTAGCTATATGGGAGGTTCAGCAGGTGAAAGTTAATGGCAAAAATCCTACACTGCAAAACAGGTGGATATTCCCAACCAGTCCTCTTCAGAGATATCAGTGACGTAAAGTAGGCCATGTCAGGCCATGTCTTGAGTTCCCAAAGCAAGGTGGGCTTTCCTCCAAGGGTTTCCGTTTGCACCAATGAGAACTTGGACCAAAGATCCTTCTCAGCATCCACGGAGTTTTGCTCTGCTGCATCCCCTCACCCTCGCAGCCAGGCCAGCACGCATCAAAATTGCCCAGAAACTAGAAGGAAGGGACCACTACGGTGAATAAGGACTGCTGGACAGGCCTGCTGGGCTGAAACATGGGAGAAAAGAAGGCAAAGAGAGCAGTCTGCTAAATCAGCCCATCTCCTGCTGTCCCCAGTTGCTCCTGCTCTTAGCAGCTGAGCCTCTGAAGGCAGCAGCAGTGGGAGAGTGCCTGAAAGAGCAGTGGTGGGGAGCTGGACATTGCCAGGAGAGGAACGAGGGACAGCCTCCAAGTGCAGCTAGCAGCATGAGGTTGTGGATTGCCAGTGAGCGCAAGGGAGAGAAGAGACCAGGACCTGTCCCTGGATCTGCTGATGCGGGAAAGGAACCGTTCCCCTGCCACTTCTCAGTTGCTTTCAGGAAACAGTTGTCTTTGGCGATTATGCAATTGTATCTTACCCGCTTAGAGGTGATAAACCAATTCATAAATTGGCAAGGGTGAGGCCTGAAAACCTCACAGCAGCAACAGAGAATAGAGATAAAGGAGGAAATGGATGTGAAATAAAGAGCGACAGAATTTCTTGGTAACCTGAGGTTGATGGAAAGATTCAGTTTCCTGGATGGGTGAGAGGATGTTGTGGGTGCAGTGTGCATATTTCTACATACATGGTCAACAGCAAAGTGTCAGGAGGTGGTATTTATGAATATGAGACTTTCTGGATCTTTAAATCTGAACTTTGTCATGCAGCAAAGGCTTCTGCCCATGACTGACTTTGAATGTGTTCTTAAGTAGGTCACTGACATTCGACAGATGTTTTATCACTGAGCTACTTATGACAGCACTCTTTTTTAGAAAAGGACAGAGCTGAATTCCCTTTTACTGCTCTTTTTTTTGCCTGGAATCCTCTATTTTCATCTTGTTTAGGCTGCATTTGTTGGACCAGTACATGTTCTAGGGAAAGCAAAGGCTGTTAAACCCATTTTGTAGCAGTGAATGCATTCTAAGCCTCAGGCTGCTATTCATTTGCTATTTTAAAAAAATGCAGAAGACAAGAGAGTTTTATTCTTTTTCTATCTTGCTCATGAAAACATAGAAGACATTAATATCATTAATATTATTTTTAATTATTCTGAGTGTACTTCTCACTTTACTGGCTTGGTCACCCTGGTTGGATGACAAGGGATTAAATCAAAATATGCTACTAGAATAATAAGCAAGTAATGGAATAACAGGCAATCATAATGTATTTAGGGGGGAATTATTTCAGATAAGTTAGGAAAATAATGTCAAAGTCATTAACTGAAATTTGCGAGTCTCACCAGGATGACCCAGCCAGTTTATCAACTCTTGAAGGTGAAGATCCAAATGTGACTAAGCAGTGAAGCTTTTGAGTGCTGTCAGGGGCTCATTTCAGTCATCATGGGTTTATCAGCAAAATGGACTGAACACTGGTTTTCTGGGGCTGCTCTACTTAACACTCTTTGCTTAAACTTGCTTCCAGTTCTTTTTTTGTGTCCTGAATGACCTGAATGTTTACAGAGGAAAAAATGTATCATATAGAGTCATGGGATGGAAGGGCGGACATAAAGGATCATATAGGTTCTGGAATTGCTCTCTCAGAATAGGTGGGCTTTGTTTCTCTTTTTTATTGACTTAGTTACATTTTAATCCTTCCCAGCTTTGCCTGCAAGGCAAATTATCTGTCATTGCTGTCCTCAGTTTGTGGCGTTCTGTCTTTTCTGAATCCTGATCTTCCCTCCATCAACCTATGACCAGGCTGATCATAATGTGGTGCGTTGCAGTAAGAGATGCATAGGCGTGCAAAATTTAGATTTTTTTTAGGATCTGAAGCGTCTTCAGTTTTCCAATGGATGTAGGTGTGCGGTAGATTGGCATCATAGTAACTTGTTCATGTGGCTGCATTCTCCAAATACCATTTTTAGCCTGTCCCGTACAATGCAAAGCTGTGTGTTTAAGGAACATCTTAGCTTGTCTGATGCAGGCTAGAGCAGCATCTGCTGCAATGCGTTAAAACAAGTTTTACCCTAGTATCTTTAAAAAAAACTACCATGGAAACACTCATTGTATTTTCTGTGACTGAGACTTTCCAGGTTCTCTTGTAGTATCTAAATGAGAAAGAGATCTTCAGAGATCCTGGCATGCTCATTTGCTGCTGTTTCGGGTGAGCTCTTTGGGTAGGATGGCTTGTTTCTGATGTGGTGAAACTGCAGAGCACATGCTGTGAACTCCTTCATCCACACAATACAGCAGGGCCCAGGGATCTATTAAGGCATGACCTTGTACAGCCTGCTGAGCTCCTTGCACTTGTGTACCTGTGGCAGATTTCACACAAATCCTGTTACGTATGTGAACAGCAAATATAGCAACGTTCTCCTAGACAGGCACCCTGCGTGTGTGTGTGTGTGTGTGTGTGTGTCCCGCACACATGCTCACAAGCATACACAAAACTTCCTCCCAGTATGTGGATGTGAGGCCCATCCACATTCCCCTATGTAAGTGCACACACAAACCCAGCACAAATGCTAAGTGGTCACATGTTTCTGTGCGTACAGTGTGTGCTTCTCAAATGTTCACGGGTCTGTGGACACCGCTGCTTTATTTCTTCATGCAGAATGTACTGGCAGGAGCTTATGCGCGCACAGTTTGTCTGTCAGAGGCTGTGGCAGAGACTGATCCCTTTTGGCCTTCAGGTCTGGCAGTCATTCTGATCACTTACCCTGGCCTTTCTGCACAGCCTAGGACGTGGAACCATATCTAGTGGTTCCTGAGGAAAAAGCAGTACCCTGTGTTTGGGCCACAGTCCCTCTCCGAAGTTAAATTTGGCCTATCTTTTTGGAGTCTCCAGGCCATGGAGAAACCTCATGAGGAGTTTGCATGCTAAATACCCTCTGTGTTAGGAATATGCACCTAATTTCTAGTCTGAATGTGTCTCGCTTCAAATTCCAGGCACTAAAAGTCATCTTCCATCTGCTGAAGAACAGAGCCTGCTAGTCGACCCCTACCTGGATAAAGTACAGATTGACTGAATCGTCACTTAATACTGCCTTTGCTCATCTAAGAAAAGCTTTTTTAGCTTTTTGCTCTAGAAGAAATTTTTCTAGGCCTTAGGTAACAGCATCTCCATGAGCTAGCTCCAAGTTCCCCAACCCTAAAAAAAAAAAGAAAAGAGAGAGGGAAAGTGAACATCAGAACGAAATATATTTGAAATTCTCTTGTCGTGTGTTGAAAGGTCACACATGCATACTTTCTCATCACCTTGGGCTATGAACTTATGTCCATATCACCGTTGTTGTTATGTGCTTTCTATACTCACTGCTTCTCCAAGTGCAGTCTCCCAGCCTATACCCGTGATCCTGCATTCTTGGTTCTTAGATGTTATGACTTGTGCTCAAATGCCCATTGCTCAAATGAGCCCAGGCCACTGAAGGAACTAGATCACACTGTAAAGCTAGTGATTGGTGTTGGTTACACTCCTGTTGCTGTGGTATGTGCAGACCATGCCAGAAATCCCTCAGTGAGTAGTTTAGGTTTTTGCTACTTTTGTGAGGGTAATAGAGATGAGAAGGGACTGAGAAGAGATTTCTGCAGAAATCGCTTGACCTCCTCAGTCCTGTAGATGATGATTTCCCAACAGTTATTGTAAGATCCACTGTGGCCCATTTGGCAATATGTGCTGAGTTTATTTCAGTCTTGTGCTGGTTTTTAAATGTGAATATGAAGCTGGACTAAGGCAGATTCTTTATGAAAATCCAAGTATGATATTTTGTCTAAATCACTTTCATTGTCCAAGCATTTGATCAGGAAGGAAAATTTGAATAAGTAACACTACTTGTTTTCCACAAAGCTATATCTATTCTGTCATTTAGCATGCTAATAACTGCATCCAGGAGCGCTGTTCCCATGACTTTACCACAGCTCATTGCTGAGAAAGGCTCCTTTTGCTACTCAATTTGCATCTATAACCGAGGATATAAGGTTAGCTTCTTTCCTCCCCAGTTATTGAAATTTCTCTAGCATCATAACAGTTCTGTTCAATCTGGAGGTATCCAAGAGGTCTCAGATAGTCTTAGGAAGACTCCTGGATACAGGTTAGTCCATGTATGGATTTTAAGAGTATTTAAAGATAAGAAATTGCTGCTCTACTCTTCTTCCTACTTTCTGACAGATCAAAGTTTGTTTGTTTATCACTAGTTTTGTTTCCAGACACAGAAAAGAGTATTTAGTGAGCATTTCTGCCTCTTCTGCATCACTGATGATTCACACCATCCCTGTCTAATAGCATTTCTGTACCATGTCTATGATTTCTGCTGCTCCAAAGAGATGCAAAGTGTTCGTATTTTTACCTACCCTTTTGTCCCTAGATTTTCTACTTATACCTTTAGCTTCCCATATCGCTTTGCATCAACAGTTAATTTACTATCATTGTTACCAGTTTTCTTCTCTTTCCATCTAATATATTGGCTCAAGCAGGAGAAGAGACTTCCTAAGTTATATACTCCAGACACAAGTTGGACTGCCCCATGGTCAATGCTCAGCATATCTCTAACATCTCGTTGCTGTGCAGTCAGATGGACAAAATGACACAGCAGCTGCTGCAGGGTTCCTGAGAAAATTCCATGAACTTCACTCCTCCTCCAGTCCCTCTCACATGCTCCCAAATGCACCTTCCCCCACCCCGTAGCCTCCATGCTATGCAGGCATGTACAGACTCTGCAGACATCCCTGCTCCTCAGTACTGTTTGGCCAAGAGTCCAAGGTTTCCTTGAGAAAGTTTCTTACTTTGTTTTGGGGTTGTTTCCCCTCCTTTCTGTATTTTTAACTAGAGACTATCTCTTCAGCTTGTGATAAGAGAATGTCTGATATGAGACCCAGAGACATGACTTCTCCCATACCTCTCTCTTGTCAGCCTTTTAGCTCTGGAGAAGAACGAGGCAGTGATGATCCTCTGCCGTGCAATGTTGGAGGGAAACTGTATCTCATCTGTGGTCACCCAGGCCTGGAAACAAATGGAAGAAAGAGTCCTTGGATTTGGAGAGTCGGTAAAGATGTTAATGTCCATCTTTGACCCCGCTGTATGCAGGGCTCCCTGTAGCGCTGATCACAGTGCTTCAGTGGCTAGAGCTCATCAGCACTGCCCTTTCAGGAACTACCCTCTGGGAGAAGCTCAGTTGGGTGACCAGAGAGGGAAGATCCAAGCCAGGGATATAGGAGCTGCTCAGCCCCCTTTTCTCCCCCTCACTTTCCCTTTGCACCCTCCCCAGGTGTGTGACAGTCTTGGGCGGCATCACATGGACCTGTGCCCCGACTGTGCTTTCTGCTCACTGAAGAGGGAGCAGTGCCAGAACATCACCAACCTGAGACGTGTTCATTGCAGGACGGGTAACTTCACTGCCTACATCAACCCCCAGATCTCAGCCCAGCACGAGGCCACAGGCAACCAGGTACAGAGCATGCCATATTGCTGGCTGGTCTGTGAGGAGGGAGCCTGGATGGGTGGTGGGAAAGCAGAGGAAGAAGCACAACTCTCTCAGTCCCACCCCATTACAGGTCAGCTCCCCGGAGGCCTTGGAGTATTATGGCATGGAGGTTTACAGTGGGTTGAGTGCAGAGTACTGGTGTGGCCACTTGGCCATCCGCGGCTGTGATGACCCTCATGTGGCCCTCTGGCTGCAGGCAGAATACAGTGCCTTTCAAGCTGGAGATGCCCCGAGCCAGGTGGGTGCCACACACTCAAGCACCCTCCTGCTTCTCCTTCTCCTTTCTCTTCTCCTGCTTTCATTCCTCTCTCCCCAGATCTGCGACTCAAGTGGAGTTCAGCACCCCAGTTACTGTGCATTCAAGAGCCACCAGTGCCTGCAGCACAGCCTCCACAACCGAAGGGTGAGAAACAGCCTGCACCATCCTTTTCTCAGCCCTTACCTTCTCCTCTGTGTCTAGTCACTCCAAATTCAGGCCCCTTCCCACTGCCAGCCCTGAGTCCCTCCAGGACTCAATGGCTCAGTCCTTTTCCCTCCAACAGGACTTGAACTGAGCGGGTTTGTAGGGATGGCAAATATTCAAATATTGACCTGAGCTCAGTCAGCTTGTTGGCATGTCATTGAAGCAGTATTTGCACAGACGCTTTAAGAGGTAGTAGCAGAGACAGCCACTAATGTCAAGACAGAGGAGCCATGGGGAGCTGCTTGGAGCCTCCCATCCATCACTATACCACTATATCGCCTCTCATAGCAGAGGGTCTCCCCCACTTGCGGTATGCTTTCTAGGCGGTAATGAAAACCAGAAATACCACAGCAGGACAGAGGACTAGCCTGTATCTTAGGAAACACACCATTCAGCTATTGTCCCCTCCCCCTATTGGCCCCTGCCCAGTAGGCCCTGCCCTCTGATGTCCTCTTCCGTCCCATGGTCTCTGTGACCTGAGGAGGGGCCGTCCCACCTCCAGGGCTGCTGGATGATGCCCTTCATCCCAGAGTCCCCTTTGCCAAGGGTGAGGATGGGCATTAGTACCAACGCCTAGCGCTCAGGCTTTCCTTTCAGGTATCTCGCCTTGGCTGCCACTGGAACAAGATTTACCAGGTGCTGAGTGAGGAGGAAGGAGAGGAGGAGGTACTGCTGTGGCACCAGTGGTTCCTCAGTCTCACTGAGGGATAAGGTGCGATAGTGGGAAACACACAGAAGGCTCAGGGATCCAGAACAGGCTCTCTGGAGCTGTGGTGACATGGAGAACCTGGACAGCTCTTCCCAGACTCTTTGCTCTCTGGTGAGCTCCCCATGACCAGATCTCATTATCTGAACACCTGCTCTGCATCCTTGACAGCAGTATGGCCAAGATGGACACTTCAGTCAACAGCATTTCCTTGTGGTGCCTGCTAAAACTCCTCCTGAGAAAATTTTCTCCAGCCACAGGAATTGCAGAGTGCTGGAGAAGGCATCTGCCCTGGGGAAATGGATTTAGGGCCACAGGCCCACATGTCCTTGTCTGAAGTCCCCAGCCACCATTCGTCTTTACCCTTTTGCAGGGCTGTACCAATCTGTAGCATTCCTAAAGCTGAGTCATGTTTTATAAAGAGCTCATTCAACCCACAAAACTAATTTACTCCCTTCTCTCTGCCACTGCCACTCTGTTACTCCCCTTAGTGACCCTTCTCGCGTCTGTGATGGCTCCCCAGTTCCTTCTGCTCAGTTCCCTGGCGTTTCTCACTTACTGGAGCACCCGTGGCCCTAGACAAAGTTGCTCTCAGCCCAAGGACTCCAGCACGGCCTTGTCCCCTTCTAGCCCACTGGAGAGAGCAGAGCCAAGTGCCCTCCATATCCCAATTGCAGTGCACTAGGAAGACGCTTCATATACACACTTCTCTTTCTATTGCAGGTGTTTTATTTCTAATGTTTAAGGGTTTATTGGACTTGTGTTCTCCAACCCTCCATCCAGAAAAAGAACTCAAACTACAAAAAGCTCAATAGAGTTGGAGAGAGAGTGCCAGGCAAAGAACACACAGTAGGTTATGGGACACCCCCAGAGCCACAAGCTGCTCTCTGGAGAGCAGCAACACCCTACATCTCCTCAGAAGTCCTTTCTCTGCTTCCCCCAGCGTGTCTCTCTCTGTGGGATGTCCTCTCGCCAGCTGCTCCGTGTGGTTGTCCCTCTTTGCTGTGCTGGCACTCTGTCCCCTGTCAACCTCCCGCCACCCCAGCATGCTCACACTCAGCGGCAGCTGTGCACCTCCACGAGGTGCCGGCATTGCTTGCACTTGACTGAGCAGCACCAGCGAAACTTGCAGCTGCATCTCTCCACCACCTCAGCCTGGGCTGTGTGGAAGCCCCTCCCGCAGCACAGCAGCTCACAGCCATCCATGGCTGGGGATGTCCGGTTGCACTGGCGGCCAGAGGTGCCAAAGACACCATGCTGGGGGTCCTGGTCGCAGAAGTCTGGGCTGGCCAACAGGTAGACCAGGTCATGAGCTGTGTAGGGCTTGAAGCGAGAGCTCTTGGGCACCAGGAGCTTGCGGGAACCAACCCACTTGGAGTGAACCTCTGTTGCCCCCTCAAACTTTTCCTTGAGGACATCGCCCACCTGGCGGAAGGGAGGCATGACCTTCCAGCAGGTGCGCACTTCGCAGGAGCCTGACACACCATGGCACTTGCACTCCACCTTCATGTGAGACAGGATAGCCTGGCGGGGGGTGGAAGGCAGCTGCCAACCAGACCTGTGACACCTTCCTCCCATACCTGTGGGCCCTGGAGCACCTGCCGTTCTTCCATACCCTCCCACGGGGCCTGTGTGAGGGATCAGAAAGAAATCCCAGCACTCACATGGGAGGCAGGACCAGCCTACTGGAAGGGAAGGGAGTTTAAGCTAAGCTGAGTGATTATGAAATAGAAGGGGCCCCGCTCTGTGGAAAAAAAAAAAAAAAAAAACAGTCTGGCTTTGGTCTGTAAGAGAAATCTCTGAAGCAGTGGAAGAGAAGGGGGCCTGCTTTGACCCATGGGGATGTGGGGGAGAATAGATCCCCTTTGAGCTAGAGGAAGTTTAAGGGATCATTTCTGATCAGCAGCATCTATAGAGAATGATCTGTTTGCTCAGGAGGGGTTGGCGGGACAGGGAAGCACATTAGAGCAGAATGGGAAAGTGAATTCCCCTTGATAAAAAGACTAGGGAAGGTAATTCACTTCTGGGCTCTGTAAGGAAAAGAAATCTGCCCTGAGGAAGGTAAGGGAAACTGGGAGCCGCTTCTGAGCGTATAATGAACCAGCTCCAGCACGGGGCAGCACAGCGATGAGCTCTGAGGAAAAGGCAACAGGACACAGACCCACTCTGGGAGTCTGTGGCTGTCCCAGACTGCTACTCTGGGTAAGGGCACCGGACTGAGCTCCACCTAACCAGGGAGAAACCCAGAAGCAGGGTTTGCTTACCAGCCCTTGTTCATGCCCTTACCTTCCTCCCAGCTTCATTATTGTGCAGGTTCATGAGAGCTCGGCTGGAGGAGATGCCACGGCTCCTTTCAGGATTGTCTACGAAGGCTTGAGAAAATGCAATCCCATAAGACAGGTTATCAGAGCAGCCCGACCACTGGAAACCTGCAGAGGGA